TAGTGTAAAAGGCCTTCAACTTTGTAGGACTTGCCAAATTGCTCTCCAAAGTGGTTGAACTAAGCTTTCACGATATTGCACTTAGAAATATAGATGACTAATCTTATGGCTTTAAAGCAAACAAGCAAAGGAATCAAATCTTTGTCTTCAGAGCCATAATAAGATGTGAGGATAAAAATATATTGTATGCTTGTGAATTTTTTCAGAATCACCTGCTATTAAGTAATTTTTGTTCCAAAAATTGTACTCCATATGTCCAATAAAGCAGCATCAATAAATAAACACACAAACATACTTGTGGACCATGACTGAATCTTGATTCAAACAAATCAATTATAAAAACATTTTGAAATTATTAGGAAAATTTACATACAGGCTGTGCATTAGATGATATTAAGAAATTATCGGGCCGGCCGAGTGGTGCGTTGGTTAAGAGCTGGCTTGGGATGCCAGAGGGCCCTGGTTGGGATCCCACATATGAGGGCCAGTGACACTGCCCTCAACAGCTAAGATACTGAACAACAGCTCAACCTGGAGCTGGGCTGCCGTGAGTCACCGGCGACGGCAGGTGGGTTGCCATGGGCTACCGTGTGTAGCCAGCAGCCAGCGTGAGCGGCCAGCAGCCGCAGTGAGCAGCCGTCCAGAAGCCGGCGACTGATCTGCCTCACCCGGGAAGAGCACAATGATGGTGCCAACTTGGGCCAGTGAAGCAACGTCCTCCACAACTAGACTGAAGAACAAAAGGATAGCAACCTGTCTGTTCCCCTTCCCCCAAGTCCCCAATAAAAATAAATAAATAAATAAATAATAAATAAATCTTTAAAAAAGAAAGAAATTATCAAGTTTGTTAAAGGCATAATAGCATGGTTGTTCTTTTGTAAAGTCCTTTTTTTTTTAAATGCATGGAAGGACATGAAATCTTGTGTCTGCATTGAATACATTAGCAAAAAAATAAGGAGTGATAGCTGAATCAAGTGTGGCAAAATCTTGACAAATGATGATTACATGGGGCCCAGTATACTATCTCCCTATTTTTGTATATGTTTGAAAATTGTTGCTGCCATCATCATCATCACTAACAGGAATAAGACTTACCAATAGAAAAAGACTAGTAAAAGTAGATAGACATTTAGTTGTCACAAAGAAAATCTCCACCTATAATCCTTCCATATCTCATAAGTGGATTATTTTTCTCTCTACAAATAGCTAGACAAGCTCCAGTATTTTATCAGTATGATAACCCCATTGATTGCACTATAATCCATATTTTTGAGAACAGCAGATTCTGATTTGTATTCAGAGCGTTTACACCAAGACAATGGCACTAAATCAACTCAGCTGATTTAAACAATCAGAAATGGCCTGCCCGAGATAAAATGAGTATAGAAAAATGATACTCCTGAAATGTCTGTCACAAAAGTCACGTTTTCTGTGACTTCAATATGTTTTATTAGTGTTGATGTAACCAGTGTTGTACAGGTATCAACATGGTTAGTCAAATGTCACAGAAAGAACTCCAAAAGTAAAATTAGAGGCAAATGTTAGGCACAGTTTTCTCTCTGAATAGGTAAAACATCAGGAGCTTCACCATAGCATTTGTCCTGTGTGTGTTGGGGGGAGGGCCACAAGGGCTGGAGGCCAAGAATATAGGGCAGAAGAGAAATTTAGCACAGGGGCCTAATTAACAGTAGGCGACGCAACCCAGGAACCTTACATGTGGTGCCTGCTGGAGTAGGGCAATGAGGGCCTGAGGAAGCAGCATGCTTTTTCCCACTGACCAACCACAGTGCTAAGTCAGACCAGCAACACACTCCAGGGAACAGTGCCCAAATGACTAAGCCACAACCTCTACTTATTTGTATTCTTTCTGACTCATACTCCCTCAGCAAGGGCAAATGCAGGCCTTTATTCATGCCTATGGACTTTTGGTTGGTAGCCATTCAAAATGTCCTAGAATCATCACACAATCACAGTGAAATTAATCTTGAGTCATGAAAATGACATAATGAATTACAGTCATTATAATTATAATAAAAATTACTAATTGATCGATTCTGACAGCATACTACATCCTGGAAATCAGTCAGGTACCCAAAGATTGAGGCTCGTGGCACTTAATAGTCAAATGGTCCCTGGCATTATGCTAAAAATCTTAGTCAGACCACTTCCCAGGGCCCAAGGAGATGCATTTGTCCTATGGCTGGAGTGGTGAAAGCACAGCTGAAGCAAGAAGCAAGGGAACCAATACCCTTCTCTTCACTTGTATGAGCCTTCTAGTACATCAGCTCTCCAGGAACAACAACTAGGGTAAAGGGGTGATTCTATAGTCTCCATGAAGTTCAATGCTCAGTATAAGATAGTTAATTGAAGCAGGGAAGTGGAGGGAATTTTCTTCATCATTGTATTAACAGTGAGGAAAATTACTTAAACCTACAAGAGGAAGGTGTAATAACAGAGTGTCTTAAAGAGATTTTACTCATGATCATATATGAAGCTCAACAAATTAGGCAGTTTTTTTAAATAGAAGACACAGAAGAATACAGCTAAAGACAGAAGAGAATTATTTAACCACAAAGATAATGTTTCCCTAGGTTCAACTTTCAGTTGGCTTATTCAATAAAAGCACAGAAGAAATATAATGTAAGAGGGGTTTCACTGGAGAGGGAGACTTGAAAAGTGTTTCCAAAAATGTGCTTCACCAAGTAAAAGAGCAGCAGAAAGAATAATTTTGGTGCAGAAAATAAATATAACTGTTTTTCCTATTTAGCTAATCTCTCCCTCTCAGCTCCCCAAATCTATTGTCAGCTCTCTATCATTCAGACATCTCAAATTCACACCCTCACTCCTGAGAGCCTTGGTTGGCCTGCCTGTGACCCTGGCCTAAACTTTGGCTAGCTCAACACGGCCTGTGCTATTGTTGGCTGCAGTACAGAGACATGATGCTCTGAAGGCAGAAGATTGCACCAGCCCGGCACACAAGTGCTCAGTGTGTTTCATCACCCTCTGCCAGTCTGTCTAGGATTGAGATAACACCTCTCTGCTGACTCCAAACACGAGAATGCATCAACAGGGCACACACCCTGGAACAGGGCTACCCAAGCAGGACCTAAGTCAGGATGGGAATGGAGGTGCATACCATGCACAGCTGTGGCATTAACAGAGATGAAAGCAGCACATAGCAGAGCCTAAATTAGATCTCACATTGTCCTTTGCTTATGCACATATTTTACCATTTATCACTGTGGCCTGTCGGATGCCTGTCTCCCCACAGGAATCATGTCTTAATCATCTTTGGTTCCCTCAATATGATAGTGTAAGGATCCCCCTTACAGGTAGCAAATGCTCAATAGCGGCCATAGTCAATTTCCAATTTCACAGGCTAAAAGGAAGGGCAGACACTCTGAATAAAATATGACAAATTTTAGGCACCAGACTTACTCTAAACCATTATGATTTATACTTTCTCCTCCTGTTCACTTCTACACTTTCCTGGAGGTACCATGGAAAAGACAAAGACCAAAAATAGAAAAGACAGGTGCATGACCAAAGAAAACAAAAAAATCCAGCAAGTAAAAATATTCATTTCCAGATAGGCTTAAAAAAACTAAGCCAATGCTACTGGCCACCCTCACCCAGTGATTTTTTTAATCCTCTTAACTTACCAAATTGAAACTCCTTGTGCCCTTTTAAATTCATAGCCTAAAACATGCATCACCACCACCCCAATCTACAAGACCCCATAGGCTGTCACTCAAGATCAATGACAGAACCCAAATCCCACTAAGTACAATAGAAAACAAGCAATAAAGTTTGTTCTCTCCTTAAAACATAAAGACACACATGAAAAAATGTGTCCAACACAAAAAAATAAAAAATTAGGAGATCTGTTATAGCTTAGAGAAAGGTACCTACTACTAAAAAGAGGATCAAGTATAGCCAGAAATATCCAATCTTAGTAAAAATGTTATCAGTGATAATACTTTGGTATTTAAGTAGATACCATGAAATTCGACCAGTTGCTTCAGTCATTTCAACATAACAGTTTCACAAAAATGCACAGATGTTTTCACTCAGATATGTTATTTCCAAAATGCACTACAGTATACAAATTCTACAATTCCTCTTAGACAATCCTTCAGAAGATAAATTCCTTCTAGTGCAGTGTTTGACAATTTGACCTTCTTTAATCCCAAATTAGATGGGCACAAAATTGTTTCAATTATTATTTTTGAAAAACAATGTAAAAACTTAGTCTTTTAATTAAATTTAGTGATTCATTTCTTCCTAATTTTATAGCCATCACTTCCATAGACTTCAACTCCCCTATGAACCTGGTATCTTAAACAGTTCTTACCCTAAGTGAAAGGGTTTTTTGGGATAAAAGCAAAGCACACAAATAGAAGCAGGGACTGGGTAGTTCCGTTGATTTGTTAACTCACTTCTAACAAAAATTAAACAATCTTCTTTACTGCGGGACTTTTCTGAACTTTTGTTACGGTGCAACATTACTCTCCAAAAGAAAGGTGTAGTATGTGGTGATTCCCAAGCTTATTTCATGGGGGAGTTATTTTTTATTTCATGCATTACCAATTAGCTGTTAGCAGGAAAGAATATTCTGAGGAACATACTTTGAGAATCACAAGTTAGAATAAAGTGCTAATGATCGGTTTAACTCATAGATAGTTCAGTTATCCTTTTCGTTTAAGCCATTGATTACATCTTTAAAACCATGAACAACCACCTTTAAATGCATGCCTTTAGAAATACTCTCTAAGAACACATAGATGAACTAGCAAATATTACCTCCTTTGTAGTAACAACTCATTCAAAACACAGACAGCTGTTATTTTGCACAAAGGACAGAATTATGAGCAATCCAAGGCCTATAGAATGCACTGCGCTATGCATATTTCAAATTTACATTTAGTAGATATAAATGGCATATTTTACATCATCATAATTTGGATATTTTAACCATCATAATGAAAAGGAAGACTTACCAACAGAAGCTGAGTTTTTAAGAACCGACTCCTTTGGGACTCCTCTTTCAATTCGTAATGTGGCCCACTGTTCAAAAACAAGAAGTACGAGTTTAAATTGTTCCACAGACACAATTTAGAACACTCAAACCATGCTTATATGGAAGTGACATTAAACATTAAGCCCTGGTGCTGCTGGAATTAAAGAGATCCTCCAGTGACTCTCTGATGTAGCAGTGTCCCAAACCCCAGGTATACTCTTGTATTCGTTACTAACAGAGCTCTAATAATAGGAGGAAAAGATCTTATTTAAACTCCTCACACACACCTGGTATCCCAATAAATTACTCCTTGGAAAGGTCATGAAGCATGCCAGATAAGAACACAGTTTATGGCATCAAGACTTTCTGGGTTTAAAGTTACTTAATCCCTTTAGTCCTTAGTTTCCTCATCTGGAAGTGAGGATAATAGTTCCTATCCCATGGCATTGCTAATGAGGATGAAATGAGATTAACACATGTGAAAACCCAGGGCCCAGAGAATAACTATTATTTTCACAGCAAATTAAGCATTCAAGTATGAGACACATTCAAAGAGGCCCAATTGCCTGCATCAAATATAAGCTTGCAGAAGATCTGAAAACCTGAAAAGGAATTGGTGAAGTAAATAACTAAAGAAATCATATGCCCTCCTGGTCACTTATGTTTTAAGGTGCATAGGGGAAATGTTATGATTATGAGGAACCACAGGTTTGAGAGAAGTTAAAAATAGAAAAATCAACTCCCATTGTGTTTTGAATGTACATAAGAGTGTAAAGAAATATATTAAGATGTGACTTATCATTTTATTCTTTATACTTCTTTTATGCATTTCCAAAATTATCTACCATTAACAGCGTAGTTCAAAAACTACAAGTGAAAACTTTGTTGACAGCATTCCAGAAAATCTGAATGGCTCTTTTTCTAGTTTAACAAAGGAGCCTTTAAAATATTATTTAGGTGATTACAATTCCAGAAGCTAACAATAGCTAAAATGACTGATTTGGGGTCAGGGGAGAGCAAAATAAGAGGTAAAATTCATTGTAATAATTATAATTAGAACATAAGCACCCTTGAAGAGGCAAAAAGACAGAGTTTATTAAATATGTCAAGGCAAAAATCTCAGTTATTGCTAAACTCAGAGGATTTAAACACAGAGGTTAAAAAACAATTTCAAATAAATAAGAAAATAACTGATAGAAAATAAATAGCCTAAAACATGTACATGAAGGTCAAAGAGTAAGGCATGATCTGATTACGTCAGGACCCCTGCACAACATCCCAAAGAGCCAAGTAGGAACATGCCATTTGTGCTTAGAAAACAGCCTATAAATAGAGGCCTAACCTTCCCAGCTTCAAGTGGCAAGTCAAAAATGATAATAAGACTCAGTCTTAATCTGGTTGTGTCTTTTCTCTTCCTTGCTGACTTAGTGCAGCTCTCAAACTCTAGACCTCCCACCTTTTCTCAATAGAGGTAAAAGTTTATTTCTATAGTTTTTCCATTTAAACCTTTGCTACCTATTATCATTTGCAAGTAGACCAAAGATATGATTAAAATAAAATCTTGTAAATAATTAATCATTATTCATCTTGGAGCTCAGTTTTGGGGAGGGGGGGGTTTATTGTAGGCATGTGATTTTACATAAATAGTAATTAACTTCAACTAGGACAGTTATTCCATGCTCTCCTGATGGAAAATATTGATATTTTGTGGTTGTTATGGGCTGAATTATGTGCCCCCACAATTCACATGTTGAAGCCCTAACCCCCGTACATCAGAATGTAACTGTATTTAGAGATAGGACCTTTAAAAAGGGGACTGCGTTAAAGAGAGGTCTTTAGGGTGGCCCCTAACACAATCTGCCTGGTGTACTTATAAGAAGAGGGAATAGGGATGAACAGACATCAGGGATGCACACAGAGGGGAAAGGCCAGGTGAGGACACAGGGAGAAGGTGGCCATCTGCAAGCCAAGGAGAAAGGCCTCAGAAGAAGCCAACCTGCCAACACCTTGACCTTAGAATTCTAGCCTCAATAACTGTGAGGCAATAAATTTCTGTTGTTTAAGCCACCCAGTCTGTGGTACTTTGTTAAAGTGGCCCTAGAAAATTAATACAGGAGCATTGCTCAGACAGCATGATGTGTTACAAAGAGCCCCGTGTTCTGTCACCAGACAAGTTTCAGAACACACAACTTCTCCTGATATGGTAACTGCAAAGGTCTATCCTACAAAATGCAGTATTCGAGACTAGCAAATTTTAAGGTTGGAGGAGAAGTCATTTCATGTGAAAGAAAATGTATACTGGAAAACCATTTTCTTCTTTGGGCTTACTCTCCAGTGAAAACGAAAACGTGCCTATGCTCTGTAGTCAGACAGACTTACATGTGTGTATGAATTGCAATTCTGTCACTTCCAGGCTGTAATCACCTCGGGCAAAATACTTTAACCTCTGGGGCCTCATTTTCATTATCTCTAAACCAGAGACAATTACCAAGGTTGTTGTAAAGATTAAAGAAGATAATCTATGACCACCACATATAGGGCACAAAGTAGAAAAATGTTGGCTCCCTCCTCTTTTCCCACACCCCCCACTATAGGTACCAAAATGATCAGTTGTTTGTTTGTTTTTTCAGACCATCCTGTGCATCTCCAATAAATAGCTATTTATCTTTTATCATGCTAGCTTCTTCTAGCTGATCAGGTAAGCCCAAACACAGAGGTAAAGGTTTCTGTAGAGGCTCTAAATCTCTTCCATAGGTATCTCAGAACATATTGCCTCAAGACGACATGAAAGGTGCGGCTCTATCAGCAAGATGGCCTCAAAGTACAGTAGTGGCATCTAACAATCCCCATTTCTACTCCCCATCTTATGCCCCACCCCCACCAAAAAAGGTTGAAAGACGCATTCAGTCAGGTTGTCACTCCACTTAATTTCAAAATCCTCTTGAGGGAAAAAAGTAGCTGTCCACAATGTATCAAAAAGAAGGGATTAAGTCTAATTTTTAAAGCTTAGGCCAAAATCTTGCAAAAATGTGACACTGTCACCTAGACAATTACAACTTTCAGTTTTTACACTAAGAACACATTTAAGAATTAACTAAAGAGAGGAGGAAACATGCATAAAATTATATAAAAATTCAAAATATTAGGCTTACTCAAATAGTAGCAGGCCACCATCTGTCATACAATAAAACAGTTTCTTGGCAGAGACTGTCATCTTAGTAGAGTAAGAACTCAGGCTCTAGATGCAAATTAAAATTCTGATTCTACCACTGTTCGATATTTATCTACCACTGTTGACAAATTATCTCTCTGAACCTCCATTCTCCAATCTACAAATAGGAGTAATAATAGGCCCTATCTCAGAGAGCTGTTGTGGAATTAAGTTAAATGAAAAGCACATTGCCTTGGTAGCTTCTATTATTTTTTGTGGCCTTCTAATGCATTTGTTTTATTTCAAACATCAGGGATAATAACTGAGTATTATAATAACAGAGGTGTCGTAACCAACTAAGAATTATTGACATGTCTTTTTAAAATGATGGATAACTAATTAGTAGTTGGTAAAGAAAGTAAAGGGAAAGAATAATAAGTAAAATAAAAGTCAGGAATTGTCTGCTCTCAGTATGTATGCTGACCCATCAAAGATATAAAGGTAGGTTAAATCTTAGCCACACAGGAGCAAAAAAAAAAACCAAAGATTAAAAAAGGTTTGAATTCAAACTCCACCAAGAGTTGAGCACCTACTATGTATCAAGTGCTTTCATTCACCTCTGCTCATTGAATCTGCACAATAACTCTAGCAGGTGTATTCTTACATACACATGCAAAAACTAAGGTTGAGATGCTAATTGGCCTGCCCAAGGTCACAAGGCCAGAACTTTGGAGGAAATTGTTCATGCTTCCATCTTATTCCCCAAAAGTTGAGGGGAAAATTAGTCCATTAATATTTATCATCTATCCATTGCCTATATTATCTAGTTAGATTAGATAATTTAATACCATTCCCCTAACTTCTTCTCCTCCATCAATACTATATTCTTTTCTTATTCTTTATTTCCCTTTAATCTTAGGCCAATGAATAGCAATCCTTCACCACCTCACCCCCATCATTAACCTAACAATTAACTTTCATGGTTGAGAACAGCCTTTTTCAAACTTTCATCCATGCTCTTCTCTAATAAACATAAAAACTTCACACACACCCTCCTAGAGATTCAGATACTTACATCGCTACCGCCCAGACGAATCATTCTCTACACATCCCTCTGGCAAAAGTTTCACTTTCTCTAGTTTGTATTTCTAAAACAATTTTCCCGATATAATTATAATATTCCTTATAAATTATTATATAGCCCTTGAAAATCACTGGTTTAGAGACTCACTAAACTTATTCTAAAAATTCAAGCCTTGTCCTTAAGTAGCTTGCCATATCAGGGGCTTATGCACACATCTAGAGATACTCCACAGTGCAGAAGGCAGCATACGGTAGGTGCTCAATGAATAATGATCACCTGAAATGATGGGCAGCTAAGGAGTCAGAGAAGAGCATATAGCTGGGTCAGTTACTTGACAATTAGCAATTACCACAGTCAGCTATTCAGAAGGCACCCCACACACATTTCAACCTCCAGAATTTGAGTTTATGGTCATGAAAAAGCCACCCATTGTCAATAAAACTTCTAAAAGTAAACACATAATGTACAAAACTAAATGACCTTTTTAAATGGTATGTAAATTGTAACATTTTGAGAAATTTGAGAAATCTCCAATTCCAATCCAAGAGACCAAAGAATGCTCTTGAGACTGCAATACAAAAGAAAGAAAGATACAACCAAATCAGTTGGGAACATACTAGAGAATAATGAGTAACAGAAGGGCTGGGCCTTGAATGGAATCTACAAAAAGGCAGGGTATTTGTCCAGAACTAAAGATGTTCTAATACTAAATACTAATAAAGATTTCCTAATACTAAACAACAGAATTTAGATTTCCTAATACTAAACAGCACAATTTTTACGAGAACTATTCCTGTAGCTGGAAAAAGCAATCCATTGTACTAACCCCCACCTTCAGAAATGTCTTTGAAACACCTACTGCTGTTCTAGTTGAAAGACGAAAAGCCCTGGGTTGTCATTTCCCTCTCCTGTGCCAAAAGCAGATATCACTGTGGGATCACAACTCTTTCCTGATGAACCCAGCTGCTCCCAAATACAGGCGCTCTAGGAAGCTCTGACCAACAAGCCAGAGCTGGCTCACAAAATGAGCCCCTATTCTAGTTCCATATATGCCAAGATCTCTCTGACCTCCAAATTAGTCTTAGCAAAGAGGATGGTTCCTTATGCTGCCACTACCTGGTTTCCAAGCTAAGTGGTGTATCTCCCACTACAATTCAAAAAATTGGCGTTCTTGAGAGTTTGATTAACAAAAAGTATATCTCTAAACGTCTCTTCAACTCTAGATGGACAAAAATGAAAACTTGAGGCCCTACCAAGTTGAAGGCCAGATCCTGGACCGGAAATACCCCTTCAAAGTATAATAGTTATTCACCAGGCTGATAGCAACTAACAGGCCTCTCTTCTTGACATCTCTTTGGTTGTACCTTGAATTACTAAAGCAAAAAATACAGGAGTCGGCACCTGGAAAGCAGCGTGTGAGATTTACCCTCACCCCATTCTCACTTGGGGTAAAAATTCCAAAAGACACTGCAGTATGGGAGAACAGCTCAATCATTTCAGAGTTCTGAGAAAGAGTAAACACCAGCTGAAGAGGATCATGTACTGTGGAGAGAATTCTGAAGAATTCTAACAGTTACAAGGCAGCTGCAACATTCACAGCATTGTGTGACTAAGTTCAGAGTGTAAAGTCCATAAGAAAGGTTCAAAACTGCTAAATAGCTCCCAAGTAGAAACAACAGAACTTTCAAAACATGAGAGCTGAGGATGAAGAATCAAATACAACTTAAAAGACTAGAAAAATAACCAAAATGAGAAAGTGCAACAAAACTCTGGAATAAAACAGGAGATTAGTAGCAGGGAGAAGAGATTTGCGGATTAGTAGGTGGGAGATGAGCAGGTAATCTCCAGGTGGGAGATTGTATATCTGGGAGCCACCCCACTAGCTGAGAGAGAAGAGCACATACAACCAAGTCCTGGGGAGACAGAAAATAAGAGCAGAAAAATGAGAACCCACATTAGAAGGTACTGTAGAAGCTACAGAAACAAGGATGCTAGGATTAAAATAATATTATTATTCTTTTAATAGCAGAAAGCATTTATATAGCACCTGATATGTATTGGCACCCTTCTAAGATGTTTGACATATTTTAATTTGTTTAAACAAACCTATGGAAATTGTGATTGTACTTCTGTTTTATAGATGAGAAAATGAGGAACAAGAAGTAGGTGACTTCCCTAAGGTCACATATTGAGAAGCAGAGCTGGGATTTGAGTATCAAATCTAAGCAAATCTGTACCCAGAGTCTGTACTCCTAGCCACTAGGTAAACACACACTCTCCTCAGTTAAGATCACCTCATTCAAGCAAACCACTGTACTTCTTTGAGCCTCAGTTTCCTTATCTGTCCAAATGTTATTATCCCTTCCAAGGCTCTGGGGAGCAGGTAATGAGATAGCAAACGGGAAAGCCCTTTGTAATCCAGTAAAAGCCCTGTATAAGGGTAACCTGCAGTTATTCCCCCACCAGGCCCACTTCCAACTAACACCTTTCTTTGCAGGATTTGGAAACAGAAATGTAGGGAGAGCTGAGGTCAAAGAAGATACGTTTTCAATGACATTTCAAGTGCCATTGTTTAGATAAAAATCTCCATGACTCCATTAAAATATAATCAGATTTTTTATACCATCCAGCAATTTGTTTCTTATCATGATCATAAACTAGAAGATGATGCCTTTCTGGACAGGATGGCTTAGTACACGAAAGAACCTCTGAAACCTGGGGCTGTAAAAGCTAAGGAGAGCGAAGTGACAGTTACACTACAGAAAGGATATAAAGAAACCCGATGACATGAAAGGCGGTCGCACTGTTATTGTAATCAGTAAAAATAATAATAATATTGTAGTAACAGAACAGGGGGGTAGGGTGGTTCTGCCTTCAACCACAGGAACAATAGGGTGTACAAGGGGTTTCAGCCCGGATCCCTTCAGCTCTGCGGCAGAAGCCGGGAGGCTGTCTTCGCACTACTGCGGAGGATAAACCCAAACGCACACCCCCGCGGACCACGGACCTTCCGAATTGGTTCCCTAGCGTCATCTTGGCTCTTCCCTCCGCCCACACCTCCCGTGGTTCTCCGTCAAGCCCTCCGAGGTGCGGGAACTCACCTCTAAAGTTTTCACCAGGATCTTCATATAGATCTCGGAGATGCCCAAAGACACTCCGAAGGCCGAGGGCAGGAGGATGAGGCCGAGCACCAGCGTCAGCCAGGTGGAAAGGATCTTCCCCGCCAGCTCTGCGCCCTCCATGGTTCGGCGAACCCTTTCCGAACGGGTCCCAGAGGAGGTCCGAGCGAGACAGCCGTCCCTGTCCCCAGGTAGTCAGGTGGCAGCGCCGGGAGCAGAGGCGCGGAGTCCGGCTCGGAAAAATCAGAGCCACCGCCTCCCGGCACTCACCTCTGCAGGAGAAAAAAAAAAAAAAAAAGAGAGGAAGGAAAAACTTTCAGAATGACGGCTGTTTCCTTCCTTCCTTTACCGGCTCCTCCTCGCTCCGGAGGGTTAACTCTTCCTCCGCTGGAGGCCCAGGCCAGCGCTGAAGCCACCGCGGCACACGCAGACCTGGTAGCACCGGCCAGACAGATGATGGGAGCTAGGGTGAGTGAAGGGACACCGCGGCGTGGGCAGGGCGCGCGAGTGCAGCCGGGAATGCGCCCCACCCTGTGCCTGATTGCCTCTGGGTGGCGATCGCGACAACTCAGCGGGTGACTCACGGAGGCCCTCCGGGAGCGAGGATCTCTGCTAGCACACCGCGCCACAGCACACGGGTCGCGGGCGGAACTGGCGCCAGGCCAAGGACTGGGCTGGTGGCTGTCTGCGCTCGGCGGTTGGACGCCCTATTTCTGCGCTTTGCCCTCGCCCCACCTCCTCCGCCACCCAACCGGAGCATCCAGGCGGGACCTGCACCCAGAGCTCCGCAGCCTCCTTGGCGTCCTCTGTTCGTCCCCGTGCCCCGCCTCCCCCAGCACTCAGCAAAAGTGCCTTAGGGAGCAGAGTTTTCATCTGCAAAATGTTAGCGTTTTCTTCACCTGTAAAATGAACTACTGGCGTGCCCAGGACGCTTGAGAAGATCTTGTTTGTTTGGGTGTAAAACGACCTCTGGGAAGGGCTTTCAGGAAGGGGGAAATGCACAAAGCGCTGTACGGCGCTGAGCTTATCAGGGGGGTTGAAAAGCTCTCTCCATGAGTTACCTACTCCACTCAGAAGCCGGCTCCCTGGCATAGAACTGCGACTGAGGGTCGCTCCCGTCCTGGGGAAAGATTCCAACCTCAGCGTCCCCTAACCATCCACCCAATACTCTCAAGCGCACCGAAGCTGCAGAAAAACTCCAGGCCCGCGCAAGCCTTCACCAAGCTGACAGCGCCTCCTGGGTATTCAGTCCCCGCACTGCTGCCTCGCTAGCGCTGATTAGAACAATGAAGGGCAAAACCCTATAAGGTATTTACTTAAATGCAGTTATTGTGTCTCTTAAAGACCAGATCTGATTTTAAGAGTGAGCATGAGAAGGGATGTTGAGAGTGGTGGGTAAGACAATCAGGCTGCCCCAGGTTTCCAGATCATCACTGAATGGAACCAAAATCTCATACAGGTCTCTTTAGAATGTTGTTTCAAGCTGGAAAAACCGGGAGGGCCAGCAAACTGAATGGAAACAGGGTTGATAGCAGATACTGCAAAGGAAGCCGCCCTTGTCCAGGGTGTGAAGGAAGTGAGAAGCGGAAGGGAAGAGAGAAACCCCACTACAAAGACTGTACATGTTTGTCCTCTTCACCTCCTGCAAGGTAGGTATCACAACCTCTCACCCCACTAAAGAGGAAAAAATGATACCATAGTGTTCAGGAAAACCAAGTTATGAATGAAGACGTTTCAGGCATTTGGTTTCTCAAAATTTGACCTCTTTATGGTCTGCAAGTTTACAAAAATAAGGAAAACACAACTGCCAAAATCCTTGCTGAAAACAAATATAGATTTAATGTAAAACCTCAAAGATGACACTGACTCAATACTATATGTTCCCGAAAAACTCTTACCCTTCTTTTATTTCCTAAGGAATGCTGAATGATAGTACCAAAGTTTACCCAACAAAGTCCCAGTGCAGGCAACCTCGTGTAAGGACAGCTTTTTTCTGCCCATCCAGATAGTGGTACTGAGTGCCCACAATCTCCAATGATTTCTGTTGCTCATGACTAAACTCCATGAACTGGTTTTGGGTTTGTTTGTTTTTGGTTCTTCACTATTATGGAAAAATTGTCCCACAGAATGGTAGAATGGTGGTAACATAGAATTTGGAGTCTTAGATTGACTCCAGCACAAGCACTTATAAGTTTGAGCAATTCATTTAGTCCTTCTGTGCTCCGGCTTCCTCATCAGTAAAATGGAAACTGCTTTGTGAACAACAAAGCTCTGTGCAGAGATCAGTAGGCAGGCTAGTACAAGAGCAAAAGCGCTCCGCCATCTTTTTCTCACCTGAAACACAGGAGAGCCAAGGTAGGCTCACCTTTACAGTGATAAAGGAGAAAGGGGGAAGAGAAGAAATGGCGGAGGTCCCATAGCTCCCTTTCATTCCCTCCCTTCCACTCACCTCTCCCCTCTCCTGCTCAGCTTGTGGCGCTTTGAATTAAACCTACATAGGACCCTCCTGCCCTTCCCGCGGTTGGGACCCCCTTCATTTATGGATTAGTTTCCTAGGGCTGCCTTAACAAATTACCGCAAATTAGCAACTTCAAACAACAGAAATTTATTCTCTCCGTTTTGAAGGCCAGAAGTCTGAAATCAAGGTGTCTGCCGAGTCACCTGCCCTCCAAAAGCTCTAGGGGAGCAGCTTTCCTTGCTTCTTTCAGCTTCTAGTGGTTCCCAGCATTCCTTGGCTTGGGCCTGCGTAACTACATCACTGCCTCACTCTTCATGTGGCCTTCTCATACATCTTCTCTTCCCTTCTTTTTATTTATTTTTTTATTTTTATTTTTTTTTAAGATTTTTATTGGGGAATTGGGGGGATGGGAACAGTGCTGGGGAATTGGGGGAAGGGGAACAGACAAGTTGATGTCGTTTTGTTCTTCAGTCTAGTTGTGGAGGACGTTGCTTCACTGGCCCAAGTTGGCACCATCATTGTGCTCTTCTCTGGCAAGGCAGATCAGTCGCCGGCTTCTGGACGGCCGCTCACTGCAGCCGCTGGCCGCTCACGCTGGCTGCTGGCTGCTGGCTACATACGGTAGCCCGTGGCAACCCACTGCCACAGGGGCTTCAGCCTACACCGTCGCTGGCGACTCAAGGCAACCCAGCTTCAGGTTGAGCTATTGTTCAGCATCTTAGCTGTAGAGGGCAGTGTCACTGGCCCTCATATGTGGGATCCGAACCGGGGCCCTCTGGCGTCCCAAGCCAGTTCTTAACCATCGCGCCACTCGGCCGGCCCTCTCTTCCCTTCTTTTTAAAGACACTTACCATACTTGATTTAGGGCCCTCCCTGATCCAGGATGATCTCATTTTAAGATTTTGCTTACTCTGAAAAAACCTTTTTTCCAAAATTGGTTACAGTCACAGGTACATGCATTAGGATTTGGGCCTACCTTTTGGGAGACTACAATTCAACCCACTATACTTACCATCTCTGTAAACTAGGATTAATACACCTACCTGGAGAGGTTGTTATTGGAGTTGAAGATTCTGTCTTTAAAATTCAGCTGATCATTAAGTGCTCAATAATGAGGTTTTGCAGTACAATCCTGTTTTTCACCTGTTGTCCTGGCATACGTTTTAATACTACTTCCTTTTGCTCTCAAAAATGTCCTGGTTTGAGTGATAAATCACATGGTTCCTTTATGCCTACATAGCTTCTGAGATCCCGTCCAGTCCTGAAATATTAGATCCTTTGACAAAGCTTACTGTCAAGTCCATGCATGACCTCTTGTCAATATTGAAGAATGAAGAAAAGGGATTAGTATCTAGTCCAGAGCTTCTCAAACTTTACTGTGGGTAGGAATCCCTGGAGCTTTTGTTAAAACAAAGATTCTTTAGTCCATAGGGCTGGGAAGGGGCCTGAGATTCTGCATTTCAGTGAGCTCCCAGGTGATGCTGATGTCATTGGTCTGCGACCACTCCTTGAGTAGCAAGTCCTTAGAGTATGACCAAAGAGGGGAGTGTTACATTTAACTGATAATAAAAGGCCCTGAGACCCAGGTAAGTCTCTGGGAGCCAGTGAAAAAATAATTGATTCTGAAGCACTAGCTAGCTAGCCCTTACCTGAGGACTCATATTACTTGTATCTTCATACCTCTGCTTTGACAGCAATTGTGGACAATGTGAACAGAGGAGTTTAGGCTAAAAAAGCTTTGAGTAAATATCAATACTCTCATAAATAGGTGCCTATAGTAAAGAAGATGTCATAGTTGGAGCCCAATGACAAATATTGATTGAATTTAAGAGGTAGGGTAGAAGAGAGAAATCTGGCAGTAAAGCAGATTGCTGAAGCATTTTATTAAACAGACAAGCTTTGCATTTCTTGTCGCCAGTCTCTGAGACCTCTCTTTTTTCTGATTTCACACCTTTCTTGGGCCTTCATCATATCCTGCCTTGATTCATGTATTTGCTTCATCATCCCACTGTCAACTGCCCAATATCAGCACCCGCATATTCATCTGTAATCCCTGCCCAGTATTCCACCCCTTCTCCACCTGCACAGAATTTTACTTCATGCCACACTATTGTTCAAAGCCAGCAGTGACTCCCGTAATGGTCACAAACTGAAGTCCAAATATTGAACATCTTAGGTTAAATTCTCAAAGCACTGCAACTTTAACTTCCATCCCATTCCAGCAAAACCTTTCTCACCTTCCCCTGGTTTCTGCAGGATTTCTTTTTCTCTGGGACTTTTGACCACATTACGATGCTCTTCCCACAACCCCACTTCCTGCACACCTCTCTCCTGATCTTTCATCCAAATATTACTCACAACACAGGTTAGGAATCCAACATGGGGGTCCTGCCAGTTGCTGAACATGTCTATTCTGATTATGCATTCCAGAACTGGGGAAATAACCACAAGATGGATTTATGGACTCATGCGCACTGTTAAATGGGCCTGAGCTAAAACTTGAGTGTTCACCATAAGCTCCTATTTTCACTGGTAGATCAGAGTGACATTTTGGGTCTCTTGGAGTTAGTGTCAGTTCATAAACAATGTCCATTAGTCCCTGAAAAGTCTGATTATCTCCCTTTCTTCAATATACAGTCACCCTGGTAAACGGCCATAGGTCCCTTTGAGGAAGACTGGGAGACAGATTAACAGTATAAAACTTTGGCAGTCCTCATAGGACCTAGCTTCCCCTTCTTCCAGGTGGTTCCAGGTCTGTGAGCTGGCTCAAGTTTGGAAATTAATTGAGGGGCAGTGACTATCTGTTTTGTAATTCAAATTAGACTTCTGCTAACTAAACCTATACCTTTTCCATTTTTACAGAACACAAGTGAGAGTTCAGTAGACTGCCCATCTATTTTGATTACCTAGTGAACACCATAGGTTTCTTTGAGTCAGACTATTCTGATTACTTCTTTGACTCTGCTGTCCATTACAGTAATCATATTCACCTTGTCTTTGGCAATTAAATGCAGCCACTTGGCTCCTGCTTTCCTGGAAGCTCATTATCCCAACTGCATTTAGGGATTCCAGTTCAATGGTAGCAGTTCCCATTGTAAATTCTAACCTACAAAAGGGGAACCACAGAACTCTTCAAGGATGCT